AGGTGGATCTCTCAGATGCCATAGAACGATGTTAAGGTCCCAAGCAGGAGGACTAAACTTTGCCTTCTGGTCCTCCAGCTTGAAGGCTTTGAGTACAAGCGATGAGATGGCACCTTGGAAATCTTTTTGCCGTCTTGACCGCCAAAACACAGTTAAGAGCCGATAAATAAGTCCTGATAGTGTTGCCCTTGAGACGCCGGGACTTCTGAAGGAAAAGAAGGAACTCTGCTATAAACTGAGGAGAAGCTTTCAACGGGTCCTGGACTTCTGTGCACAAAACTTTCAAAGGAAGTCCACTTATCATCATAGAGTGATCTAGTGGAGACTGATGATGAGCACAAGCAATAACCTTGGCTACACCCGCGGAGAAGCCCTTGGCCTTCAGTGCCTTTTGCAGATGATCCAGCCATACAGATGAAATCGAGTCGGATCAGGATGCAGCTGTGGACTGTGCGGATGCCTGAGCAGGTGAGGCCACTCTGGTAACTGTTGCGGACTTCCTTCGGCAAGACGGCGCAGATCTGGGAACCAGGTTCTGGTTGGCCACCAAGGTGCCACCAAAAGCAGATGAATCGCCTCTGTCTGCTTGATCTTTGCTATCACTGCTGGCAGCAGAACTGGTGGTGGAATGGCGATGCGCCCAGACCTCCCACGACAAGGACATGGCATCGACTGCCCATGCCGCCGGATCTGGAATCGGAGACACGCATAACGGAAGCTGTTTGTTGAACCAAGTCGCAAACAGGTCGATCAGAGGGTGGCCGACTGTGACATAGAAGGTTGAAAGCTTCTGGATGTAGCATCCACTCTGTTGGCTTAACGGCTTGCCTGGCCTTGAGAGCCGCCTGCTAGGACGCTCTTGCACCCTGGGATGTGCCGGGCTCTGGCTGTGATGCCATTGTTGTCCAGGAGACTGGCCAACAGGAAGGTCTGCTCCAACAACTGCTTGACCTGGTCGCTCCCTGGTTGCTTAATCAACCACACCACACGCAGAATTGTCCGACGCTATCAGGAGCCTGGTGTTCCGCAGCAGAGGCGCCCAGTGTCGAACCGCTAGAATGACTGCTTAGAGCTCCAAGTTGTTAATATGCCAGCCTAGCTCGGCGTCGGACCACAGCCCCAAGGAGGTCTGGTCGTTGAGGTGTGCACCCCAACCCTGAAGAGACATGTCTGCAAAAAGTCCGTGATCGTGAACAAACTCTGTCAAGGAGACTCCTACGCAGACGTTCTACTCTACAGTCCACCAGCGGAGGTAAGCGTGGAGATGCAGTGGCAGAAGGAACCTCGAAGGAGATTGTGTGCTTAGATGTAAGGCAAGAGGAAGTGCTGTAACGTCCGGAGCATCAGACGACCTCTGAGCGTCAAGTCCTGGGCTGAAGTGAGGAGACCTAAGAGGGACTGCCACCCCCTGAGCGTGAGCGTCTGGGACAGACCTCGGCTGGTGAAACTGACAATTTTCCTCCAGCGATCCTGTGGAATCCTGACAAGGTCGCAGTGAGTCAGGAACAAGCCTCCTATAAACGTCAGTTCCTCGGACGGCTCCAGGTGGGACTTGTCTGAGTTGATCATCCACCCCAGTTGCTCTAGGAGACGAATGGCAAAGTCCATCTGTTTGCGAGGCAACTGAGGGTTGAGGTGGTTCATGAGACAGTCATCTATATAAGAGTTGAATCGATGCCCCTGAGATGGAGAAACCGGGTGATCAGTGAAGTTATCCGAGTAAAAAGCCACGGCGCCGTGGAAATTCCAAACGGAAGCACTTTCCACTGGTAGTGGGACCCATTGAAAATAAACCTCAGGTACTTTCTGTGACGATGGTAAATGGGCACATGCAGGTAGGCATCCTGAAGGTCGAGGCTGGCCAGCCAGACCCTGGGCGCAAAGCTTGGCACGAAGCTGTTCCAGGGACACCATCCGGAAGTGAGGCGGCTCCGAAAGGTAAAGGTGGTTGAAAACTGCCATGTTGTGAATCATGCACATCTTCGCTGAGTCTTTCTTGGGAACCAGGAAGATGGGTGAGTAGAACCCCGGGGACTGTTGGGGGTCTAGCACTGTCTCTATAGCTTCTTTGTCTAACAGAGTCTGAATGTTGTCTGCTAGCAGTGACTGTTGGCCTGGAGCATACACGCGTGACTGGGGCGTAGTAGTCAGAGGCGGCGACATGGCGATTGGCAGCTTGTAACCGGTCCTGAGAATGTTGGTCACAAACGGATCTTCTAGGACTGTCCAATTGGGCCAGAAGATCCCCAGTCTCCCGCCTACTGGAGTAGGATGAACCGGCACGGCTGGGGTGGGAGGTCCCAGTCGTGTTGGTTCCAAGCTTCAGCGACCTGAGTAGGGGGCTTCCCCTACCCCTGCCGGGCGCCGGCGAGGCTCCCGGGACGGTCCTGCTGACGGCGCTGAAAGTCGGGTCGGACCTGCCACGCCACGCCCTTCGCCCTGCACGAACAGAGTCTCTTCTTGGGACGTAACGGCGCTTCCCTCTACCCCTTGTAGACGATTTTCCACAAAAGGCCGAACTCAGAGCTTCGAAAGTAGACAGGGACACCTCCGTATTAGTAAGCTCCGCATGTTCCTTATAAACCTCTCGAATCCTGTCATCAAAGAGGAAGCGGGACTTGAAAGGGGCTCTCAACAGCTTTCTTTTGAACTCCTCCTGCCAAGAGCAAGGCTCAAGGAAACCCATCCGCTGAACAACAGTCGTCATGGCCAACGCCGTCCGAAGGTGTGCCAGTATATCATGTAACACCTTACCCTGCCATTGGAACAGGGTGGTAAGGTGCTCTGTCCTCGACGCATTATCTTCAGTTAAGTCCCAAGCTGCAGCCGAAGTTGCAGAGGCCAACGCCGAAACAGGCTTCAACATCCTCTTGAGCTCTGTGTCAATAGCCAACATCTTAGAGTCCTGCACTCGGTAAGAAGACTGTGGAGAACCCGATAAACGTTTGAGGGATTCATCATGAGCCGCGCCTCCATCAGCGAAATCCAGGCTATGTATCTTGTAGTCCCTTTGCTTAATTTAGAGCCTTAATAGTAGATTTGAGAGACAGTTTAGCAAAGTCGGCATCCAAAGAGGCCACCATGATCGGCCACCATCGGGTGAGGCGGAGGAGTCGTTAGCTCTCGGTTGTCCATAGCCTGAAGAAGAGGGAGAAGGACAATCCGCAGTCTGTCGGCAATCCAGTCAAATACAGCAGATAGGGGAGATAAGTACCCCCATCATCTTCCTCTTGTAACATCTCTTCATTATAATCGGGAGAAAATAGTGCTCCTCAGCGTCCTCCCAGGACACGGTAGTAGCATTATACCGCTGGCCAGAAGCAGCAGGCGCCGGGGCCAGATGACAGTTGAGAAACAGCACTAAAGGTAACTGTAGGGGAACATGGTCGCCGCTGGGCGAAGCGCTTAAAAGGAGGCGACCTTTGAACGGACCGACGGTAGCTTCCCACGAAGTTGGCGACCTTGAACGCTCCCTATCATTGGGACGCCTGGGAGAGCGAGACCTGAATCAGACCGGCGACAGCGATGACTAGTATCAGAACTATGCCGGGGACTTCAAGAACGATGGCGCTGTCGAGGAGACCTAGAGTGAGACCGCTTAGAACGACGGGAGCGCTCGGCTTCCTGGCGTCAGGAACGCTCTTCCAATAACTGACGCTGAAGACAACGACAACGAGACACAGGAGCCTTCCTGGGGATACGGTAGTCTAACAACGCGTTGGCCTTAACGGCAGCGTTGGTGGAGGCTGGCTGGTTGACGCACCAATCCAGCAACATCAGAACTAGGTGCCACGGCCGTCGGCGCTGGAACTGCACTAGGCAACTCAGAAGTTGGTGTTGGGACAGCGCTCGGCGCTGGAACGGCGCTGGCTTGTGCTTCAACTGCTGCAGGCAAAAGGAGCGTCCTTAGAAGCTTCTGTACCGGATGAGATAAGGCGCCCGGCTGAGATAAGTCCACAAAAGGCGCCCAGACGCGTCAGACGGGCTAAGGGGCCAGGTGTCAGCCTACTCGGCGCAGGTGTAGACGTCTGTTCAGTTAAAGGAGAGGAGCGTCTGTCCGGTGTAGAAGAGAAGATCTGGAGCCCAACGACGAAGCAGGTGAAGACATCTTCCTCTTATGCTGCGACAAATGTTTCTTCTTGGCGGCAGTGTAAGCCTTGAAATCGGCGACGGATAACGGCGTACAAAAAATGACAGCGCTCAGCAAGAGAACAGGCTACAGTAGTGCAGTCTGGACACCAAGGGTGGGGATCCTTGGCAGACTTCTGCACCTTGCAGATACAGCAAAACTGCCGGGTCATGCACACAAAGGCTGTAACACACCAAAAAAAGTGAAACGTAAAAACTATGTGAACACACAGAAAAAAAACCCTGCAGAGAAAATGGAAACACCCCTGCAGCAAGAATGGGCAAGCCAAGCAGTCGGCAGCAGAGTAAACAACCAAGATGGCTGCCCCCACAGAGCCAAAAAGAGTGAAAAACAAGCACAAATTAGGCAACAATATCAAGAAATACAAGACCAAGCATGAACATTATGGTGAAAAAGACATAGGAGAATGCAAAACACCAAACATGCCCAGTGGAGCGACACTCGCGACGTGGGAACACACCCCACACTGAAGTGAGAAACACGAGGCAGCCAGGTAAGTGAAGTTTGCTTTAATTATGTTCTTCACCCACACAGAGAAGAATATAGGATATAAAAAGCATACATACCGAAAACAAACAAGAACTTTAATATCTGAAAGAATCAGTAAGTAGCGAACTAGCGAAATCAAAAAACGTCTGACACACAGTACGCTTGAAGTAAAAGTGATTTTTGGATAGACCACGCTTGCGCGGAGAGGGGAGATCACGTCACTTCCGTTCCTGTACACTCGTCGATACTTGAGGCAGCCATTCTAGAAATGGCGAATCAACGACTGTCTGATCTCTTTTAAGCGGAGCTTGAGGTAATATGCATAAGACCTATGGTAAGGTAAGTTAAAAATTTGATAAATCCCCGTGGGCAGCCCAGTGCAGGGGAGTTGATCCAGCCTTGTCTAAGCCATTCACCGACACCTAACATAGAAAATAATCTCATATAAACATTAAGACCAAGACAACTTGTATGTTTAATACTGGAGTTGCCAGAGGATAGGGCATGTTTCCAGTGTTATCATAAATTCACTTACAGAAACATGAAATTAGGAACACTTACCCTGTTACTAATACACTCGGTCATGAAGTCGATGTTTCCTCGCTTGGCAGCTTCATGCAGCGGGTAGTCTACAGATTCTGTGTTGTCTTCCACTGAGGAAACAGTGGAGGAAATACATGAATATCTTGAAGGACCAGGAGCTGTCTTTCCTACTAATGTCACGCAAAATGATTTCTAGTCACCAATGACCAGATGACAGTCAAAGAGCTCTCATCATTGGAAATGGTTAAAAATATATCCACAAGCCTAAAGAGACAGACGTGTGTTTCCCACTTGTATGATATTTTATGCCAGTAGCATAACTAGGCTGTGATTCAGTAAACCAGTGTTTGTCTTCAGTATATAAGATTTTACAAACAAGAGTGAGTTTAGTTTTACGCCGCTTTTAGCAATATTCCAGCAATATCACAGCTGGGAACACCAGAAATTGGCTTCACACATTGTACCCATGTGGGGAATCGAACCAGGGTCTTCGGCTTTTAAAAACAAGAAACAACAGATATAACGAAAGACTTGAAGAATCAGTTGTGTCGGAACTATTGCTGGGTGGTGTCTAATGGCATAATGGCCATGAATTGTTTACATGTTACGAAAGTTGAATTGTGACACCTTTCACGTTTGACTTCATGGCTACCATTGCCTGAGAAGAAATAGTATAACTCGTGGACACACCCAGCATCGCTCCCTCTTATTATTAATACATGAGAGACACCACTAATTAAGCATTATTCATTGGTTATGGTGATATCTGCTGAGGTACAGATAACATACGTATCTGCGTAAATTACGCAAATATTTATGTGAAAACTCAATTCCTATTAAGTCTATTGCGTACAAGTACTCTTGAATTTTTGTAAATACCCACTAACTTTGATCTTACATGCGTACACACAAAAATGTCAAATCTTAGCTTGATTAAGGGGATAGATAAAATAACTGAGGAATATTGAGAGGTTCTATTTCAGGACATGAACTTGGCAACTTGCAGGCTTTCTTATCATTTCTCATATTACAGATCAAATATAAATAACAAACACTAACATTTACACTTTATTATATTTTTAAAATTAATGGAAAATGTCAAAATACCCAATTGAGTTTGAGTGAGGTGAGTACAATTTAGGAAAATTAGGGTACCCAGTTGAGATGAACACAAGCTAGTACATATCTCAATGACCCAAAATGTTATCCGTATAGTTCTGTATCTGGACAATACGTCCATGTGTGTTGTGGATGTTCCTTGTGAACTGACCATAGTTGCTGGGTATGAGTCCAACCTTGCCTCCACACTTGGCCTTCCACCAACTTGAGTCTGTCTTGTCAATGATGTACAACAAGTCTCCCTCGTCAAATGTCAGTTCATCATTCTGTAGAATAGTGAATTGACCTTTCATGCTTTGTGTCATACACAGATGTAGTTAACAGTACATGTGTTCTGCTACCCCCATCTATAATGTCAGTGTATGAAATAAGCCAAAAATCCAGCTGGTAACTTCAAAATGTTACCAGCCCGAAATGGATTTAACCAGACCAAATATGGTGAATTTACTCAGATGTATGGAACATCTAAAAATTTTACCAGACCATCGGACTGGCTAGCTGTAAATTTAGACCGTCTACCAGAAATCTAGACCGTCTCAGACGGTCGGACGGGCCTTATTTCATACACTGATAATGTACAGGAGCAGTGAGTGAGTGTGTAGGGTTTTATACCACTTTTAGCAATATTCCAGCAATATCACAGCAGGGGACACCAGAAATGGACTTCACACATTGTACCCCTGCAGGGAATCGAACCAGGGTTTTGGCTGTGTCCGCTAGGCTGCATCACTAACCCTGTAAAGGGGTCGACACAATTGGTCATCTCATGTAGCCCTGTGAAGGGGTCGACACAATTGGTCATCTCATGTAGCCCTGTCAAGGGGTCGACACAATTGGTCATCTCATGTAGCCCTGTCAAGGGGTCGACACAATTGGTCATCTCATGTAGCCCTGTCAAGGGGTCGACACAATTGGTCATCTCATGTAGTCTACAGGACATCTGAGACCAGTCAATCATGTCAAATAACAAGATTTGAGAACAAAACAGCTGGTCCTCCTAGATGTTAACAAGTCACAGACAAACAAACAAACAAGAGGCTGTGTCTATCTCTGAGTTAATAAGGCCTAAAAAAAAAAAGCGTTGATTCTGATTTCCCGACCGACCCTAAATATTCCCACCGAGCCTAACAATTTTACTCACCACATAATAAATTATATTTATTTTCTGACACATGAATAATGTAAAAAATATTTTGCAAAAAAAAACCAGAAAAAAACTAACTACCTACCTACCCTAGTTCTGAAATGTAGGAAATCGGAACCACAACATTATTTTGGGGGGGCCTAAGGTAAGATGAGCATGACGTGAAAACATTTCAACCACTAGATTACTTCTAAAAATTGTTTGCTTCATTATATTGGCAAATGTTTAGCTGTTAAACAGTTGAGTCCCTAACATGTTTTGGCTGATAATGTAATGCAGGCCTCCTACTGCAGCAGGGTTTGACACTCACTGATTTCTCCCACTTGCCAAGAGGCCAAGTAGAAAAGTTAAACTACTTGCCCATCACAGATACTACTTGCCCCATGTTACTTATGGTATAGAAAGAACTAGACAAACAAAACACAGCAAGTGAAGAGTTTTAATGAGTGAATTGAGGTTAGAAGTTGAAAAAATATGTACTTGCCACTCGGGCAAGCCTTTTAGCAATTTTACTTGCCCTGATTAATTAGTACTTGCCACGGGCAAGCGGACAAGCATGAGTGTCGAACCCTGTGCAGCTATCATACAAACCTGTTGTGCTTCATATCTGTACATTGCACGGACCACCTTCACCTGACCTGAAACATCACACTACCTCAGTGAGACACAAGGTATGGCATCACTATCATATACTTAATCACATATCCATTCACTTACAGGGCTCCAGATAAGGGCCGTATCGACGTATATACGGATAAAAAATATGCACGATACGGTAGGAAATAATTTTGAAAGCGTAGCAGTGGTGATCGCGACTACAGCAATGCGGTACTGCGAATCATTTACAGACGTATTTATATGAAAAAGTATTTTGTTTTATTGTTTATTGACCTGTTTACACAAGAGTAGCAATGTTGTGGTGCATATACAAAACGAAACACAAGAATACAGATTACTAATTTCCATTCAGTACTCTAAATGTACTCTTAAGTTTTTCCAGTACTCCTATATTGAAAAAATAAGGAGTATGTACTCCTGATGTTGAAAAAATATCTGGAGCCCTGCACTTATTCAAGCTGGGGTTGATAGCTTGACTGAAATGCTGTGCAGCTTTACTTCGTGGATAAGATAAGATAAGATAAGATAATTCTTTATTGTCCCAAGGGAAATTTGTTTTGCATCATACGTTCTCCAGTTTTTCTTTCATAAAGCAGCCATACATAACATTGCAATTGGTAATCATGAAATAATCATGATATAAATACATCAATTTAGTACAAAAACATAGATATTGAATAAAATTTGGACAATTAAAAGACAAGTCATTCACTGAATTTGTTGTTAATGCATCTTATACTAGCTGGAACAAATGAGTGGCGAACCCTGTTTGTTCTAAAAGTCGGCATACGCAACCTGCGTCCAGAAGGTAATGATGAATATTCCGAAAAGAGTATGTGAGTAGGATCACTTAAAATTTTGTTTGCTCTTTTTAAAATTTGCTGCTCATAACAACTGCCGATACTTTCGATAGGAAGCCCAATAATTTTAGACGCAGTGTTTACGATTTTTGAGAGTTTGTTTTTTTTCTGGACAGATAGGTTCCCGAACCAACTCAAGAAATTAAAGGTTATGACACTCTGAATAAAGGTTTTGTAAAATAACATCATGATAGTTTGGTCGATTTTAAAATGTTTCAACTTCCACAAAAAATACAAGCATTTCTTGTTCATAGTGTACCACCGAATTCAGGCATATGTCATCCATGAACTGTTGTATCCTCAATGCTTCATAGTTTTGTACACTTTATGTTCCGCCATCATAAATCAATAGGCTTGATTTACAGACTTTCCACTACTTCTGACCAGTGAGAAATGAACCAGCAAGTGCCATATTACAACCGCTGAGCTGTCACATTACATTGCACAAATAGCATAAGCATGGATATATGTGCATTACAAATATGATATTATTATTATTATTATATCTCCATACATACATTGGATAACGGTACTCAATATTCCTCCCTTAACTACATGGTCTGGAAGCTTCCACCGCTTGACATTTAAACGCTTACAACAAAACATATACAACTTCTCGACACTTTAAAGTTAATAACTCCCATATTTCAGCTCCATATAAATAGTTCCATCGAATTTTGGATCAAATATCTTAAAAAAATAAATCATAAGGTTGTATCAAAACGATAAAGAGATCTTAGAATTCTGTATGCCATTTTCATAGCTTAAAGCAGCGTTATTCACATGGGGGAGGTTCAACAAGAGAACGTGCAAATAAAAATACCCAAATATTTGTAAGATGAAACTGTTTCCAAAGAATTCCATTGAATTGCCATTTTTCATATTTTGATAAGTTCATAAACCATTTTAAATACAAATAACTTTGGTTTCATTTTTCCAAGTTAACAGTTAATTTATCTTTATGAAACTTTCTAAAAATACGCTATATATTTCTGTAAACCAAATACAGAGTCTGCAAAAGTACAATATCATCGCAGCTAGTAGAGGAACATTTGTACAAATATCAGGGTGAAGTTAAAATAATCTGCAACATGTGGATTCAATTTCTAGGAGCTTAATTCAATATACCGAGAACAATACGGCTTCAAAACACAATCTTTGTCGAACCCTGTGGGCAATTAAACAACTGGAGAGAGAGAAATATCACGCACCTGTCCCTTAACACACTTATAGATAGAAGCGCTAAGGCTTTTAAATATATCTTAGGTGAAACGCCTCTATATTTGAGAATGGCAGTTTATCCCTGTTTACAAAATCAAAAGCCTTTTGAAACCGACAAAGGTAGTATTGTGAACTTCCCCTTTTCTTACATAGATAACGTTGGATAACAGATTGTAGAATAAAAATATTATCAATTGTAATTATAACCTTTCCCTAAACCCTTGCCAGATTCCAATAACCTTTCGTATGTATTTGCCCATAAAATGTTATTCTCCATTGCTATAGTGATGTATATATTTTGATTTATAGTACTAAGAAGGATATTCCCCTGTAATCGGCTCAATCATTAAGATCACCCTTCTAAACAATGGTACACCAATTGCCGTAATCCACCATTCATCGGACTCAAACATAATATTGGAAATCGTTGAATCGGTCCATATAACACGGTAATAAATATCCATTGAATGCTTAAAAACTCCGGCAATAAATTATCTCTACCATGCGACTTTGAAGATTTAAGCTTAAAGGCGAATGCAACGCAGTTAATAACTTTGTGATTCCATGATAGCTTCTTGCGTATGGACTTTACCAAACAACAAAGCCGGGCCAAAAATTCAAATTCAACTTTATAATGTGGAAAATAACGCCGATGAAAACCGGCTGAATCGGACTGTTCATTCGCAAACGCCACTAATTTTCTCCCCAGACTTTTCTGGGGAATACCGGTTTCATTGGCTGCGCTTCATAGCACGGGCGAGTGGAAATAGGTTCAGCGCGAACTTGGGATCGAAATGTCTGGTGAATACCGTGAAAGGCTTAAATGATTTTAGCCCATGAATATTTATTCCATCGAATCATTCATTATTTTACGTATAATATTTTAATTTATTTGTTCTATCGATTTCGAAATCGAAATCATAATGATTCATTCGATATCCATTTATTTGACGAATTCATAGAATCGAATTATATCGAATAACGAAGATTCCATTTATCATCGAATATTAATAATCATCATTGATATTTTATCGAATTATTCATTAATCGATTATTCAATCGAATGATCGAATGATCGATGATCCAATATCATTGAATGAACCCGATGAGGAAGCATATTCATCATTGATTTGAACCACAAACATGAACTTCAGATATCGATGGATGAATATCATTCAATTTATCAGCATCCTAAACCCTGTCTATCCACAAACGCCAGCATATTTTGTCACTGCATGATGTCTCCCACCATTTGACTGCCATGCCACACCATGCACTCCCAGCCCGTCTTTGTTTTATTGACACCTGTGTGTCTGCCTGTCTGTCTGCTAATGACAATATTCAATACACAACTGACCACCATGCAATTTGAACTTAACACCAATCAGGCTATACACCATAAACAAAACGCGATTGATTTATGGCCCTCGAAGTTCGGTCTCTGTCACATTATGTAATTACACAGACAGGCAGGTGTGATACTTGAACACATGACATGTTATGATGTCTGTTGATTGCAAATGTTATACACAAAAATGAGCATGTATTTACAAAACCCAACATCTCTATATTATACACAAACAATGAGCCGCGGAAGGCAGCATCTGCTAATGAACCAGCGCTACACTTGAGTGCACACCCACCCCATTTGACTGGGTTCGTATCCCGCTGCTTGCTTCGAGGGAGGTAAATCCAAGTACAAAATATTACACTTTTGATTTGGCGATTATACGCTTATAATTTTGTTTATTTGGTTTTTCATAATCAGCAATGCATATTATATGTCATGAAGAAGTGATAATTGTGTTTTAATTAAGTTTGATTTTTTGGTTCCATGTGACCTTTAAGAATAGCCTCAGATATTTCGTCCCTAGTAATGGGTGAATCTAATATAGTACATGTTATGTCATCAACGTCATAATCAAAATAACATTCACTAATATGGGGCTCGGCATGATCAGACACAGTGCTTTTGTCTTGATACAAGTTCTTAAAATAGGAAAACCATACATGAATATCAACATTGCTCATTTTCGCTCTGGGGGCTGTATATGTTTTAAGTTTATTCCAGAATATTTTTTGCATTATATATATTCTGTAGTAATTTGTCCTTTATTGACATATTGTAGAGTCTTTTCTTGTTTCAGAAAGTATCATTGTACTTGTTTCTGCAATCGCATATATGATTGTCGGATATGTCAGATTTAACCCTTCTGAATATTTTTTAACAATCTTTGGGTTTCTAAAATCTAAGGAAGTTACATTCATAATCAAACCATGGCTGGTTAGATTTAGTATAGTTGTTGCAGCGTTTCTTTGTAAAGTCAGCAGCCTTGAGTAAGGCATTAGTAAACAATTCAACTGATTGATTTACATCATAGATAGCTTGGCAAGCACAATCGCTTCAGAGTCTTTGTTACATCAGGTGAAAGCAGATTAGCACGGAGTTCGCTTACACAGTCATCAGTCCACTTGAACCTGAGGTTCTGTCCAGAGTGTGAATCGAGTGCAAGTATGTGCTTCCTTTTGGGTTGTCAATGTCACCATTGACTGAAATGCACAAGTGATTGGCAGATGTGGAGACTCTGGTCTACATCCTGGATATCGAATCCCGCTGCAAAATGTAAACAAGTCACTGGGTTCCCGATAACATCTATCACACTTGTTCCGCTTTTGATGAGATATACGGAATCGCCAATTAATTTATCATTTCCAGTTCTGCCGCTAAAATTGAGATATTCAAACTTTATGATAATTCTAATAATTTTTACCATAGTTTGAAACAAAATTGTCACATGAGTACCGCCTATGTTGAATATTATCGTAAGAAATTTAATAGTCCATCTTTAGAGTAGATATTATATCGTCCTCTACATAGTCCGGGTTAGTGCCGGTTCTTGCTTGAAGTCACCACCAATCAGAAGTGAGATGTTACCCAGCTCTTGTAGAAGATCAATTAGTGAGTCTTGTAGCAAGGATATACCACAATGTAACGCTATTATGAGCGTGCCATGAAGATGTCTCTTGTGAGGTGAATATATACAGAACCAAATAACACATCTTTTTCTGAATTAAAAACACTTTGTCGAACAGCAGGAATACACAATTTGGAGTAATCTTAGACATTTTAACGCACTGTACTAATGGCTTCTTTACAAGCACTAATATTCCCCTGATGATCTGCCATGAGCAGAGATTCAACTGCATCTAGACTGTAGCACATGAACTCATCCGAGAACATATCATGGTCTTCTTTGGTATTCCACGCCTCACACATGCCAATTACATCGAATGTTTCAGCATAGCTCACAAAGTCAGCATCCCATGATTTAGAAGTGAGTCCGCTGACATTCCAAAATAAAATGAGTGATTATTGATGGTATGGACACTAACATCTGGGCTCTGGCCACATCCCTATCTCCTCCTCTCCTGCTTGTCTCTAGAGCGTAGATTGGGTCCAGGCTTCTTGTTGCTTGATGTAGGGGCTCTGGGTCGGGCATGGTAGCAGACTTCCACGATCTGGCTGGAGTGGGGGTGGTATCTGTATTCTGCCTCCTCGGTCACAAACAGTTTACCATTTTGAAATAGCCAAGTTTGTTCTCAGCTTTCAAATCGTTGAGCTTCCGCCGTTGGTTTTTAGTGAGGTCTGAGGAAATCCCAGATCTGTCCTCTTTAAGTCTGTCTCTCAGTTTTAAGGCCCACACTTTATCCTCTCTGGGTAGAGAAATTTGACTATCATGGGTCTTGGCTGGCCTGGCTTCCCCTTTAACCTGTGTGCGGCAACGATACAGTCGCTAGTGATATCATTATCACCGCCTGTGTTATGTCCATTTAAAGTGTCACATACATATTTCTTACACACAGAGACCGTCTCTCGTGCTTTTTCAGGTAGACCATACAGAATGACGCTGCAGCGTCTACTGTATTGTTCTTGTTTCTCCAGCATATCCTCTATACTGTCTATTTTGTCAGTAACCATGGTTATATTGTCGCTTTGCTTGGAGACATCTCTAGGCGATCTAACCTATCTGCAACTTCGTCAACATCAGCACGTAGAATTTCCTGTCTGCATCTTAGATCTGCCAGCTCAGAGCTTATGTTATCTAGCGTGTTACTCATCTTCCCCATATCTACCTTCAGGTCTCTGATTTCGAGGTGATATCCTGTTTCATCGCTTTTAAATGCTGATAGTATTTCTTCACGAAATGAAACAACATTATCAACAGGTCCTGGGTTAAGTTTGATGTCACCAGATAGTATGAGAAGAGCACCCGGTATATCAGAGTAAGAGTAGTGTTAACCTTTTCGTCGTTAGATGCGAGATGTGAAATCCTCCATGAACATCCATTGTGAAAGTTAATCTCAATATCCCCGATAGAGCTGTGTGAGTGTACAGCCTACCATGACAATACAGAAGATCACAAATGCCACACTAACAATCCGGTAGCTTGTGTCCATCCCGGTGACCATCGGCTGGTCGGTGTGTAGTGGTCACTGTCATGGCTGTCACTTCGACGGGAACTGAGCTTGGGTCGGTGATAAAAAGTCCCAATTCTAGATCTCCAGAGTTCGATCGAGATACCCATATTCTCAGATTCAGTGGTTTATTAAATTTCGTTGCAGAAACAGATATATATTCCGGGTCGAACGTACTTATTGGTGAATTATAAACATGGAATGCTCGGACCGATGTTTCGCACAACCGCTCTCTCAGGGGACATAACTCATCAATTAGAATTACTACTACAAAGCACCAAATGAGTTCTCGGCAGGGTACATAGAAAATGTTACTCACTTGTAAGCGGGGAACATTGAAAATAATAGAAGCGCGCTCAGCCAATCAGAAAACGACATTTATGTGTGAGGCAAGATAACACAGTTTAGGCACAGGCACAGCTCATTCAGTTTCCACAGGTTAGATACATGCCACTACTACATCACTAAACAGCAATGTGGTATATAACTTAGTATGTCCTGGGTTTACCATGTATAAACTCTTCATTCAACACTGTACAACTGGTTCTGACAACTGGTTCTATTCAACACTGTGTTACTATGTATATTGCAAAGACAACAAGCTTTAACTAACTGTAACAAACTGTGTCCAACTGTGTACATAATTTAGAACAGTTTTTCACAAAGGAATGAAAACAGTATAGAAGCAGTGGCTCCTTTCAGGAAGCAACCTTTACTAAGGTTAACCTTAACTCCCATCCTTTAACATTGCACTAAGGTTACCTTAGTGACTTATGATCACCTTCGTGCTTTGTGAAAGGAGGCCCAGGTAGACAAAATTATGGGCACTTTGTAAACACGATTGGAAACCTTATTCAAAGTTCACTTTCATTGAAATATATTCACATTTGGAAGTAAGTGTCGAAGGAAAGGACACGCCTCATACCTTACATTTCGGAAAGATATTTCAGGATGTATTACCCAAAATAGGGGTGAAGGCTACAGAGCAAATCCACTGAAGTTCCTTACAGAACAACACACAGTATGCTGTCTCTGTATGTGCCTTCGTAATGGTTGGGAAACCAAGTATTTCTGACAAAAGACTGCCATCCACATTGAGGACACCTCCATGGTCCAGTAGACAGCTGATCTATCCACATTGAGGACACCTCCATGTAGCCAGTATGACAGGCTGCAACATGGTACAAATAGCCATCCACATTGAGGACACCTCCATGGTCCAGTAGACCGGGACAGTCACACAAGCATTGCACATTGCGTTACATGTGTGATAACATTGACAGAGATTATAAACTCCCTTCATCATCCCAATATCCACAAACTAACTATGACTTGTGGCCTTGTTGAATGACAGGTGTATGGGGCTCTGACTCCACCTTCAAACCCCACCTTCATGCCTTACACCTGTTACACATGCACTTAGCCACAACTGTGCTCCATCTGGGAACATATCTCAAGAACTGATGATGGTGGTCACAACAAAGAGGTGTAATAATGATAATAATAATACATAAACAAAAGCATTTGGTAATACACTTTGTGTATTAACCCAGGGATGGAAATAACTTTAAAATTGCTAGTGTACTGGTGGGCGGTACAGTGGAACATCTAAAATCACTTGCCCTGATAATTTTTCCACTATACTGGCCGATTTTCTTGTTCATTTTTTAAATAAACAACATAATTAACATTGGAAAGTCAACTGGACACTGGTACAGCATGATATACAAATTTGCTTGCCCGACAGAAAAAAACAGTGGACTGGGATGTTGGGCAATAGGTTATTTCCACAACTGTAACCACAAACACAAATTGTGTCACAAATTAATTATATCTAACCAACTGTTTGATTGCCTTTCTAGAAGTCGGTGAGTGAGTGAGTTTGGTTTCATGCCGCTTTTTAGTAATATTCCAATACAGTGGTGGACATCAGAAATGGGCTTCAGAAATTGTACCCATGTGGGGAATTGAACCCTGGTCTTTGGCATGATGAGTGAACGCTGTAACCACTAGGCTACCCCACCGCCCCAGACTGACTGACTGACTGAGTATGGTTTTACGCCGTTTTTAGCAATACTCCAGCAATATCATGGCAGGGGACACCAGAAATGGGCTTCACAAATTGTACCCATGTGGGGAATCGAACCCTGGTCTTTGGCATGATGAGTGAACGCTTTAACTACTAGGCTACCCCACCGCCCTAGAAGTCGGGGAGTCAAAAATAAAGCATACAACTTTATGGATAACTGACTGACTGACTGATTTTAGTTTTACGCCGCTTTTAGTAATATTCCAGCAACATCACGGCGGGGGACACCAGAAATGGGCTTCACACATTGTACCCATGTGGGGATTCGAACCCAGGTCTTAGGCGTGACGAGCCAACGCTTTATAACCACTAGGCTACCCCACCGCCCTTATGGATAACAAAACACAAGAAGTTGTTGTCCATAAATTTGTATGCTTTATTTCTCTAAACAGCATTTTACATCTTATATGCCCACGTTTCAAAAACCTGTATTCATATTTGGTCTGTAGTAAAATCAGTATAACACTGAATTTACGTCGACAGGTGAACTAACAGGGGAACACTTTTTTGCAAATTAGTTAAATTCGATGATACAACAACCATTAAATTATATTTTTTCTCTTTAAATCTGTTGTGTGATGTTGATAGTCAGATATCAATATGGGCAGTCAGAAAATACTGTGACTTTCTATGACAAGTTGAACTGTATCATGCATCCATCGTGTGCACAGGAATTGAAAACCAGGAAGTTATAGTTGTGGAGGTATTCGATATTTGCAGCTTGATTACGCGTCCTTGTTGTAAAGAGCTGACATATGACAAGAACGCCCTTGCCGATTCTAATCCTTACCTGGCTTTGGCACCGGCGGGGGAGGCCGGGATGGGCGAGGGGCGCTAGACATCTTTGAGGTAGTCGCTCACTCTGACAACTGTAAACAGGAAGGATATGCAACAGGTTCTAGACATGCGCACTAGGCAAAAGGTGATAAATCGTAACGCGGGAAAATTTAAATAATTATAACGCGAAATGTAAATTCTACCTGTGTCAGTATATAGCCATGTGATTGAGAGTGCGTATACGGGAAAACATAGCTGTGAGTGGGTAAAAGGTGGTCATTAACTTTAACTAATTAACGATCGTACTGCTACGAGCTGTCGTAAGTCTATGTTAAAGTATAGGAGATACGATCGTCTTATGGTTACGATTGCTTTGAGGAACGGGGCCCAGGACTACACGCATACACTGTATGTGAAATTGTCAGTTCTTTTGGAGGCAGAAGGAAGGTCAATGCATTCAAACTTCTTGTCAACAGCAAGGAATATCAAGAGGCTTTCCAACAACTTGGGGATGGGTGGACTGTGCCACCAGATTTGATCGACTCACTCGAAGCATTCACATTCCGCCTCTATGCCTCAGGTTCTTCAATAAGGGATGTCAATCAATTGCGCTACCACTTATTTGAAGTGAAAAAAGGGACAACTGCCACCCTGCTTTGAATGTCTATCTATGCACATCTTGAGAGCAAACTATCAAACTGCAATATGGAACAACTGTCTGGAAGCTGAATATCCAACTCCACGGGTAACAGATGGTCGTGGATGGGTGGAAGAAAATGATCATATAGAGATTTACTGGATGACGGGATCTCTTGCTCCAGATGCTGTTCTTGAGTTCATTTCTTGCAAGTGCAGAACAGTCTGTAAACTGCCACGTTGTCAATGCCTTACCAATGGACTGAAATGCATCGTGATGTGTCCGAACCAGACTTGTGACACATGGTATGCGAGGACCATGACATGCCGGAGAGTGACACTGATAATGAAGCTGATGTTTATGATGCGGAACAGTGAGTGAGTGAGTGAGTTTAATTTTACGCCGCACTCAGCAATATTCCAGCTATATGGCGGCGGTCTGTAAATAATCGAGTCTGGATCAGATAATCCAGTGATCAACAGCATGAGCATCGATCTGCGCAATTGGGAGCCGATGACATGTGTCAACCAGTTCAGCGACCCTGACCACCCGATTCCGTTAGTCGCCTCTTACAACAAGCATGGGTTACTGAACCCGGACCTTCACGGGTCGCGGAACAGTGTCTATCTCTACACAGTTTAAGAAACGTGAAGGCGCTCTCACTCTTTCTTTCAAATTAAAGAGCTGTCTTCAGAATAAATGAAATGATGAGTTTCGAAAAAGCTCTTTGAACATACAGTTTTGACTCTTACAAAATCAGGAAATATATGATTTAAAGGTATCAAACAGCACAACTTTATATTGATTAAATCTTTTTGATCATGTTAGCACCAATTTACCTCCCTTTTTGCATTTCCAACCCATTTGCTGAACTTTACTCATGTTTAAAGCTTGGAATTGACAATTTTTTAAATTGTTGGTGGTTTTTTGGATGGCCATCTTGGATTTTGCCTCGCTCTGAGTTTGAGCTACCAGACCGGCATGACCATCACACATTTTCGATATGTTGAGACCATAACCACTTCAAACAACATAAAAAGTGTTTGGTCCCTCTGAGTGGTACCAAAACAACCTCTGGCTCATGGCCTAAATAGGCCCCATATAGAATCTACTGAGTAGGCCAACTATTGAATCTACAAATGTTTGTATAAAATGTATGCTGTTGTCACTAGGGGTCTTATTATTGAATCAAATTACAACCATTTCAAGAGGATGCTGCTTTTTACAACGAATATGTGGTACTGGATGTAGTAAACATTCCGCTTCGTGTTCCTGAATGCAGAACAATGGACAATACAAAAAGAACAGTTACTGGTCTTGGGGAGAGTCCATACAAATGTACACCACTCGTACTCCAGGCGAGCACACCTTGGTATAGTGCAAAGTCGTCTAGTTATTTCATAATTTATATTGTTTAGGGGCAGGGGGTTGGGGTTGGGAAGGTGTGTTTGATTTTGAGTGGGGCTGTCACCAATTTCGTACACATGTACGGGGTGGGTGTGTGGAGGTCAACCATTTTGTACATGAAAATATGCAAAACGTATGAAGGGGGGTGTCACATGCTTTGAACATCAGGGGCGGATACAGCCTTTTGAGAAAAGGGTGATGCACAGTTCATTTTCACCCGTTTTCATGAGTTTCAATGGTCATTTAATAAACTTTCAGGACAAAGGGGGGGGGGGGGCACCCTTGAGGCCCCCTCTGGATCCGCCTATGTACATACTTGGGTGGTTGCGCCTGATCGTATCCTGAGACACTGCTCATAATATCAGCCACATGCAAGGTTTGTCTGTACAAGACTTCATTTACAAACCGATACATGTGGAATATTTACTTGTGGCATTAAACAACAAACATATACGCATTTCAAACTGTTTCAGTAACAAATTTGTCCCCAGACATTGACATGGTGGACGTTTTTGTAAAGTACCACATCAACTAAGTTACTCGCAGGGTCCCCAAACATCGGTTATTTCGGAGTTTCAGTACGTGACGTCATTCTTTTGCTTATTATTGAACCCGTAGAGAAGTAGTGATAAATATCAGGAAGTATGCGTTTCCCTGTATCACACCGAACGTTCTGTGAAGGGCTCACTGCTCAAACACACGTCACGATTTTCTTACTGATAGAATCACACAGTCGCGCGGAGACTATGACACAGGGTAAGTACCTACAAATTCAGAAGACCTATTTGTAATAGTAAAGGCAAAGTATTTTATGGATGACAACTTCTTTATTTTATCACAATGCAATGTTGCCGCATAGATCATTATACCGAAACAAAGCATCAGAACAGAAGGAAGACGTCTCCATCAATAAAATATCTTGCCTTTACTGTTACTGATCAACATATTATATGCTTGTCAAACAGTTCAGCTTACGTGTGGCCTCTCATGATAACAATATGCTGCCAGACAGGAGTATTCATAAAAAGGAGAAGACTGAAAGGGTCTGCACCGACTAAAAGCACATGTAGCCTACACACAGGTGTTCGAATGAAGGGAGTGAGTTTAGGTTTACGCCGCTTTTAGCAATAGTCCAGCAATATCACGGCGGGGGACACCAGAAATGGGCTTCATTGTACCCATGTGGGGATCGAACCCAGGTTTGGGGCGTGACGAGCGAACGCTTCAACCACTGGGCTACCTCACCGCCCCGTTCGAATGAAGGTGTCTGCCAACTTAATATCCCAGAAATATTTTTATATTTAGCACTGGTTTGATAGTAACGTCAGTTACTGCTAATTGTCATACTTTGTGTAGTTTCTACAGTACAAACCTTGTTAGGATAAAATGTAGATATAAATATATTTTTGGTGACACCTATATATTATATAATTATTACTCATTCAGTCATTTATTGAATAACAGTGCGCCGATGGATTGAAACACATTAAAAGTTACCACCGAAATTATAGTATGAAAATGGCTTTAGGATAAATGAAAGATAAGGAAATCAAAGCTTTCGGTTTCGTTTAAGGACCAAACTGTTACATGGTTGTTGACATCTATTTTGATGTATTATAACATCAAAACATGATTTTATCTGTTAACATAATCTATGTCTTTATTGAAGTTTCATATTTATTTATCGTTCTAAACCCAGGCCTTGTCGCTAATCTATACCAGGAAACAGGAAAGGCAGTGCGTTCTTATAACTGATTATTCGCACGACTAATGGGGAGGAGAAAGTAATGGCTGTACATTTTTCCTCATATGCGCATGCGCAAGAAAACATCAACAGCTTTGTATTCCGTGTGCCACCGTTCGAATGTTTACATTGTCATGTGTGATACTGACATATAAAGATGGATTCAAATTGATGATGATCTGTACAATAGGCAGTTGAAATACTTATATCCACAACATCAGTTGAAAATGTTTGGCTGTTGTGCCTCGCAGGTGAGTGAACGAACGTGAAAAAGGTTCACATTTCGATATGACAGAAAACAGCTGATAGTTCTCCACATTGTTACAAACTTGACTTTCGTTGACAATATTCCATTTTAGATTTGGCAAGAGAATTGTCTGCAGGGTGCAGTTGATTGTCATCGCTCTAACTGACTCAGGCTTCACTGAATCAGTGGCTAACTACATTTATCGCTATATCATATGTTGATGGCACTCTCACTGTTTAAAGGTAGCCTAAGCAGGTCTGAAGCATAATATTTCATAATCTGTGAAATAGTCTTGGACAGACGTTTTTAGCTATTGCATACACATATGTCAGGGATCAGTAATGTTTGAAATTACATGACACGTCTGAGGAGGTTTTACATGCAATCTTTAGAAAAAAATAAAGGAAGAGAATTATCAGTTTAATAGGTTTTTAGAATGTTATACAGAAGTACATATGGTAGAAACTTATATTGTTGAGGAAACTATGCTTACCCCAGACTTGAAGATTGAGTGTCATGCAGATTTGTAGTAAGGCTAGCTGTATTAGAGGCTCCACAGTTGTGAAAAATACTGTAATACAAGAGCCTTATACATTACATACTAACATATCTCTAACTCCGATATCCAGCTCAGCTCAGCTGCTCAAAGGCGCTTAGTTTTTTCCCTCGTTCACTGGATGTCAATCTCAACTCCCTGGGATCATACAACTCTTGCAGCCGCTAGGCGCACCGAGTTAGTGTGGCTTTCCCATCCTTACAATGTACCCATTCACAGCTGGGTTGACTGGGACCCATAGTCACAGTACTTTGTCCAAGTTCACCGCACGCTTGCTGTACCCGCAACTAGGTGTTTGCACATATTCATGTGGAAACCATCTAGTCATATACCAATGGATTCGTGGGTTCTTTTAAGTGCACAGGGTTGTGTACTGTGCACAGGGTTGTGTACTGTACACTAAGGGCTGTGACAACACTGAAAGAGTCTGCACACAAAGTTGACTCCAAGGTTTTTACACCCGGTCACAGTTGGGCTCGATCCCGTCACCTCAAGCTCGCTGGATCACTAGCCTGGCGCTTTAGACAGTTCGCCCACCTCACCCCCAACTGATGAGGCATTGTACTCTGAAGCACGACGGTTGTTCATAAACATATAGCTTGATATTTTTTACAATTCCATTTGAAAGGTTTCATTTAACAGTTAATGTCCTCTGAGGTGTACAACAGTGTGTGTGTATAAAATTCTCTCTTAGTATGTTGTTTAATCAGTGTCAAGATATGTATATCAATGGTATATGTGCCTATATATTTCCCTTGTTCTTCCACATGTTCCAGACAGTAGGGTCTCAGTACACACAGCTGCATGATCATTTAGCTGACAACTTGTGGAAGCTGATAGGCTTACCACTAATACCAGGAAGTGTCAAACAGCTCTTTTATCTTTATCATACATATCAATGTGTTTGGATCATAATTCCAGTATCACATGACTGTATAGCTTCATGTTGCATTATTAAAACTTGACCAATGTCTCAGCTTAACAACGATAAAGCGGGCAGTGGGGTAGCCTAGTGATTAAGGCGTTGGCTCGTCACGCCGAAGACCTGCGTTCGATTCCCCACATGGACACAATGTGTGAAGCCCATTTCTGGTGTCCCCCGCCGTGATGTTGTTAGAATATTGATATAAGCGGCGTAAAACCCAACTTACTCACTCACTCACTCAATGATAAAGCTCTTCTGTATCACATGATCAACTGCAGTTACAACATGATAATGTGTTCCTTAAAGGTCACATGCAACGTAAAACACAACATTGCAGATTCTGATACCGTTCGGTATGGACTTGAAAAATAACGCGATGAAAAAAAAATGCACGAAATCGTAGTTCAAACGATTCACTAATTTTCCCCCAGCGCTTGGGGGAATTCAAGTGGTTTCAACAGCTGGGCTGCGCTCATAGCACATGCGCAGTGAAATAGTTTTCGAACCACCCGTTACACTTGAGTGCACACCCACCCGCTGTGACTGGGTTCGGTATCCCGGCTGCTTCGTTTCTTGGGAAGCTAACCCAAGTACCCAATATTGCACTTTTGATTTGCGATTGTACGCTTATAATTTTGTTCATATGTTTTTTCATAACCAGCAATGTATATTATATGTCATGAATAAGTGATAATTGTGTTTTAATTATGTTTGATTTTTTTGGTTGCATGTGACCTTTAATATTGCTAAGTCATTCTTTTGTGTTTTCCTTACATAATCATAATATTGTTTCCATGGTTATCACCACGAAGACCCTGTGTATGACCATGGCGATGATCATCATGATGCTGAACATGATGAATGCCGCTACACCATGGCTGTAATGATATCTAGTGTTGTTGAAGTCATGCTCCCCTCTCTGCTCCAGCGTAGTGTAATCACTGTCATTATCATAATTACTTAATTAGGAATGTTAGCATGGTACGTTGGCATTGGAGAGAGGTTAGTTCTTATGCTGCAGGTCCAAACTGGGGGGATTACTTAGTGCAGGTTATTTTTAAGCACATGCCTTTACACGGCTTTAGTTCCTCAATCTCTGGTTACCATGGTTTTGTCATGTTTAAATATCAGTGATACTGACTTGTCAATCATGAAGTACGGTTATTATATTTCAGCATCTATTAGCAAGCAACTATAGTCTAACTATCTCTCTCTGTAGTGATATTGAACTGATTTCATAAGCAGGAGAGAGCTGATAACCTGTGACTGCTTTGTAAAACAACAACACTGCAGTGATTTGATAGCAGGGATAGAAATACTTTTTTTTCTAAGTGTGCCTTAGGGCACCAGGTAAATATTTTAGGTGTGCCTTTCAGAAATCAGGTGTGCACACGTTTTTAGAATAAATGACTGTAGCAAAGATGATGATCTTTTGAAATTTATTGTCAGAAAACAACAAATGTAACCAGTTTTCTGTTATCACTGATATGTCTTCTGTTTAAGATGGCTTTCTTATGTTTCTTTTGTTCTGCTTTCCCAGCACCTTTAATAGCTAAGAATTGTGTGAGAGGTCCACTTTTTCAATCTATCTAACATACACAATTTCCTCTTCAATAACTGAACTATCAGTACTCCCAACACTCTAAATGAAAAAACAACCAGATTTCTTTACATGAACCATCATAATTCCAGTGATTTCCTGGGCGATAAAGTCAATAAATGTTTTTACTTGGTTGTCATTTGCATAAGTGTTTTGTTTGGCTATTAAGTGACTAAAGGTGTGTTATGTCTTAGGCGTGCTATAAGGGCACACTAATACATGGGGTATTTCGAACCCTGGATAGGTATGTGTACATCACTGTATGATGTTACATCACTGTATGATGTTAGATGTATATGGGAGCTCAGGTAGCCCCATCAACTACAATGTGTTGTGTGGAGTTTCATCCCTTGGGTATACAAGAAACCAGATATCATGGGTTTGAGTCACGAGTTCAAGTATACTGAACATTAGAAATGCACCACACTAAAATGCACCGAAGATGCTCTGATATCATGGGTACATTTCAGTCTGACGGGGATATTTCGTATTATATGGCTGGTGCATTTCTAATGTTGTTCAGTATAGTTTCAGTCTCTTTTAATAATGACAAGAAACTTGAAACCCAGATAAGTAAACATAAACTTATTGTTATTCACAATTTCAAACTCCGAGTCACAAGCCGTGTTTGCTGCCATGTTTGTTTAAGAGGTAACAGGAGCGGATAACTCTAAATCAATGTGAATGAATCTGGTACTAAACATCCTGCATTTTGCGCTGCGCATTTATCAGCGGAAGTCAATTACTAAACTATTGACTTTTTTTCGTCGCTACCATCGATTAATTGCTGTGGAGACTCAACAATAGCAATCTATCGATAGTTCGATGTACGTTACAGCACTAGTCCTGGTTATGTGTCTAGGTTTGTCAGCACCACCAGTTTCACCATGAGACCTGCATCACGGTTTTCTTCCTATATCCAGCTGACACATCATGATATACATTATATACCCATGTAAACTTAGGATAGTAATATCAAATTCCGTATTGCACCCAATATTTCGTATTGAATCCCTGCTGGTTCTTCTTTCTAAAGCTCAGCACTTTCCGGGATTATCTACCACTTGTTTGTTCCTTCATACAAGTTTGTATGTATTAAAATATGAATGAATTTCATTAGAATGGTGTCATTATTTTGCCTATGGTAAGTTGTGAAAGTGGGACTTGATTCATGATGTCATGCGGAGGAATGTATGATCGAGGTCAGTTGCATGATCCACCCACGTGCTGAGTGATACTTAATGTCAAACTAACCGGAATGCGGAAGAATCGAGGGGCGTGAACATATGTACCGCTACGCTATGTTTTGTTTTATTAAGTAACAGATTAATGCAAGATCATGAGAGGGTATATAATAAATATAGAATGTCAGATTAGTATTATTACTGCATTTGGATGTTTTGTATTGAACTCGAAGATGTCATTGGAGCAGAGAAACAACTCGTTCTTCAAACTCATTGTTTTTCTGCTCCCATGACATCCTCGAGTTCAATACAAAACATCCAAATGCACTAGTAAGACGTTCTATATCTGTATTGTAACTGTTATGCTCTCATACAACACTATTAATGGGTTATCTCCACTGCATGTCTGGGTTAGATGTGGTCCCAAGTTACCTTTCATTGTTGCATCTCAGAGTGAGGTGGTGAACTACAAACAATATATAGCAGGCATAAGTTTACAGATATCCAAATACGAATGTTGTTTTACTCATGTTAACAGGTGGCCTGCTGCTGTGGTCCAGCATCATGTGCTCTGTGTTGCAAATGTCTGCCGAAGATCAACGAGTCCACCGGGTCGAGGATCATGTACACCATCTTCTTCATACTGGTGTTTGTGGTGGCCTGCCTCATGCTCTCTCCACAGCTGGAGGAAGTCTTCAGGGAGAGGGTGAGTAGCATTCTGTTAACATTGTACCAGGTGTGTGTGCTCCAGACATGACCTCTGTGTGTGTGTGTGTGTGTGTGTGTGTGTGTGTGTGTGTGTGTGTGTGTGTGTGTGTGTGAGAGAGAGACATTGTACCAGGTGTGTGTGCTCCAGACGTGACCTGTGTGTGTTTGACATTGTACCAGGTGTGTGTGCTCCAGACATGACCTGTGTGTGTCTAACATTGTACTAGGTGTGTGTGGTGTGTGTGCTCCAGACATGACCTGTGTGTGTGACATTGTACCAGGTGTGTGTGCTCCAGACGTGACCTCTGTGTGTGGTGTGTGTGCTCCAGATATGACCTGTGTGTGAGAGACATTGTACCAGGTGTGTGTGGTGTGTGTGCTCCAGACGTGACCTCTGTGTGTGGTGTGTGTGCTCCAGACATGACCTGTGGGGTGGGGGGGGAAGACATTGTACCAGGTGTGTGTGGTGTGTGTGCTCCAGACGTGACCTGTGTGTGTGTGGGGAAGACATTGTACCAGGTGTGTGTGGTTTGTGTGCTCCAGACATGACTTCTGTGTGTGTGTGTGAGACATTGTACCAGGTGTGTGAGGTTTGTGTGCTCCATGACCTCTGTGTGTGCGCGCGCACACGTGCGTGCATGCATGCGTGTGTGTGTGTGTGTGTGTGTCATGTACCATGTGTGGGGGTTGTGTACTCCAGACATGACCTGTGTGTGTGTGTGTGAGAGAGTGAGAGAGACATTGTACCAGGTGTGTGTGGGTTGTGCGCTCCAGACATGACCACTGTCTCTGTCTCTCTGTGTGTGTGTGTGTGTGTGTGCATGCATGTGTGTGTGTGTGTGAGAGAGAGAAAAACAGACATTGGACTGGGTGTGTGTGTGATGCAGCCATGACCTTGTGTGTGTGTGTGTGTGTGTGTGTGTGTGTGTGTGTGTGTGTGTGTGTGTGTGTGACATTGTACCAGGTGTGTGTGGTATGTGTGATCCAGACATGACCTGTGTGTGAGACATTGTTGTAGGTGTGTGAGGTTTGTGTGCTCCTGACATGACCTCTCATTGTGTGTGTGCGTGCGTGAGAGAGAGAGAGATTGTACCAGGTGTGTGTGGTTTACGTGGTCCAGACATGAGCTCTCTGTGTGTGTGTGTGTGTGTGTGTCATGTACCATGTGTGGGGGTTATGTACTCCAGACATGACCTGTGTGTGTGTGTGTGAGAGAGTGAGAGAGACATTGTACCAGGTGTGTGTGGGTTGTGCGCTCCAGACATGACCACTGTCTCTGTCTGTCTGTGTGTGTGTGTGTGTGTGTGTGTGTGTGTGTGTGTGTGTGTGTGTGTGTGCATGCATGCGTGTGTGTGTGTGTGAGAGAGAGAAAAACAGACATTGGACTGTGTGTGTGTGTGATGCAGCCATGACCTTGTGTGTGTGTGTGTGTGTGTGTGTGACATTGTGTGTGAGACATTGTACCAGGTGTGTGTTGTATGTGTGATCCAGACATGACCTGTGTGTGAGACATTGTTGTAGGTGTGTGAGGGTTTTGTGTGCTCCTGACATGACCTCTCATTGTGTGTGATGATTTTCGCGTCGTGAGAGAGAGAGATTGTACCAGGTGTGTGTGGTTTACGTGGTCAGACATGAGCTCTGTGTGTGTGTGTGTGTGTGTGTGTGTGTGTGTGTGTGTGTGTGTGTGTGTGTGTGTGTGTGTGTGTGTGCAGTAGGTTGTGTGCAGCAGCACTCCAGACATGACCTGTGTGTATTGTGGGACAGATATGACTTATGCATAGTTAAGATTTCTTTTTATATTAAGATATTAAGCTGAATTAATCATATTCTCATTCATGTGCTCTCATGCAGATAAAGTCCCAGTTTCATAGTTTCCCTTCCGTCCCCTCATTATAACTCCATAATCATAATCCAACCCTTCCTGTTTTGATGAACATCCCCTTGGCTGGATATCCAATTAACATACCTACATATAAAATCAAAGTCTTAATGCATCAAAATAAAGAACTGACAATGTCAAGATGCAAAAGTAAACTGTTTGCTGATATGCATTTGCAACATTTGCATCAGCCTGTGACAACCCAACCTAAACATGACTTGCCTATAAAGTGTTTCAAATGAGCACGTCAAATCAAGGCCATTGCGGCTCAGTCAGTAGTGAGGTTTTAATATTTGTTCCAAGGTTAATGCAGGTTATGGGTTCAATCCGTGGGTCTGTCAGCAGTGGCTTGGCTGCAGTGGCTTCTGTCACGTTCAGTCAGCCCACCTTCTGTCACTGTGAGGTATGCAGCAGACATGCCCCTTGGCACAGCTTCTGCTGCTGCATCCTTTGATGCAGTATCGGGGGTGGTTGTAGAGATATCAAAGGAAACAACACTGCATCCATGCTACAATGCAAGATAATGTGAAGTGTTGGAAGAAATACACACTGCCATTTTAGAAAGTAGTCAAATGTAACGTATGTTATATTTGGGATTACACTTTCTCAGTAAAGTACAGATTCTAGCACTTTTTGGGGGTTGCGTCACATCTGGGATTCGAAGTCCGCAGTCAAGACTACCTAGTTGTCCAGCTTCCATTTGTGGAAGACCACGATGGCTGAAGCGGTCTGACTGCAGTCTAAACTACTCTTTGTGCTGACTTCGATTAGGTGCCTGACTCTGAGGGTGTGGGTTCGAATCCCGGATGGGACTCAATCCCAAAAAGTACTAGAATCTGCACTTTACTGAGAAAGTGTTATCCCACATATAACATACATTACAAGTGTTGGAAGGTTTTCATAAACCATAACCACTGTAATATATTCTCATTTAAGATAATTTAAACAGTTTAAGCTTGTTCCATGATAATTTTATTACATGTGATGAGTGACTGGTATTTTCAACCTGCTTTCCTGTAATTCAAGTTAATGTTGGAAGTTAATCCCCCATCATGATAGGAAGCCAGTTTTGTCCGACCTGTATTGATTATATTCCAAGCAGGTAAGAACCTGGTAGAATGAAACCGTGGCACCTGTGTATTTGTGACATATTTCGGCTGGCTGTTTGCTGGCCCAATATTTGAGAGTGTAGAAACTCCGCGGCCATGTTTGTGATGTTACTTGTGATCCAAAGACTGCCTTCCCTTGATTCTGCCAGGTGTAAATCTATAACAAACAAAACACACTGGAGCTCAACATGTTACATGGCGGGGATTGTTAGCCACAACAGGTCCCATTTTACTTTTTCATTGTGTTTCACTAAAATCAGGGCCTTGTGATATAGTGGTTTGTGGGGATGGCAACACTGGGAAAGCAGGCTGAAATCACTTACTTTGTTATGTTTGTAGGGAGCATTCAGTACACAATTTGGACAAGAGTCATGAAAAAATGGACTGTTGTTTTGCTATTAAACTATAAACAGTTGTGTAATCATCGAACGTTTGTGACTTTGTGGCTCATTTTTTCCATTGGAGGGTCACAGAATATATGGACAAACGTTTTGTGTGCATTTAATACACTTGTGTGTTACATTTCTCAGGCCCCTTTTTGTTAAAGTCTTTGAATGGCTTTTATTAATTACTTTAGCTAATATTGGCCAAGGTTGTAGTCAGCTGTTGTGCTGGATGTAATTATGTAATTATGATTACTGAATCTAAAAAAATGTTCACATCATTCATGAGGTGAATCTAAAAATGTTCACATCATTCATGGAATGCATGCATCAGGTCTTCTGAGATTTGAGACAATTGGCCTGGCTTATTTGACACAAGTTGAATTTTCGTCTACCCTGTTCATACATTGAGGCAGAGCTTATGGTGTTGTCATGGATCTTGACTGACTGAGTTTGGTTTTACGCCGCTTTTAGCAATATTCCAGCAACATCACGGCGGGGGACACCAGAAATGGGCTTCACACAATGTGCCCATGTGGGAACCCGGTGCCCATGTCCGTCATGGATGTTGTATGGTGTTAGTCAGTCAGTTCTTCCCTAATAAATTCTTGTGCAAAGTAGTAATTCACTTTTTGCAAACCATTAAAGGTTTAGTGTTCTAACAGAAGAAAGAGTAGCCATATGGGAGGGAAGTGGAAGGAACGGCAAGTTTGGTCTGAGATCAACATTTCCTTGTTTAATGTTTAGAACTTTGATTTTTTTTCCAACATAAGCTTGTGCTTAATTGTCATTTTCATCATGTGAATTGATATGGACTTCTCATTAATTCAATAAATACTGTCTGCGAGGAAAGGGCACTTGAATATTTTCAAACGATGCCAGGCAAATGTATTTTTTTCAGTTAAACAGGGCCTGATTTAGTGTTTTCAACAAACCCCTCCCCAACCACTAAAAAACAAGTGGTTGCTCCCTTCTCACTGGTTTACAAGATATATGCAAATCAATCATTTTCTGTTGACCATGTTGCCAGTATAATTTATTGTTTCAATCGCATGATATGATACTGCTTGGAAATTGGTATTAAACCAAAACCTGAACCAAACAGTTTGGCCCCAGAAAAATAAAACCAGTAGATTAATGACAATGTTGATGAATGGTACCTCAATGGTTTGCTGATCGTAATATCAGTGACTGCATTGTGTGGTCCAGATATGATTAATGACAAGCTTCCATCATATAGACTGAATATTGAGAGAGTCAGATTACAATCAACACTGTTTTTTGTTATTCAGGTGCCAGCATTCAACGACACATGTGTCATGTTGAATGTAGGCCCCAACTGCAGCCGCTTGATGGGGTATAAGGCCGTATATCGCCTGTGTCTGGGCGTGGTCATCTTCCACTTCCTGCTGATGTTGCTGACACCCTTCGTGCCGAGCAGCAACCACTGGCGTGCGTCAGTACACAATGGGTAGGCCGTGCAGTTACTCGGGGGTTTGCTGGGTTTTAAGTTTCTTGTTTTATTTGATGTCACGTTACATGGCTTAAATAGAAAGATGAGGAAGAGTGTCTAATGGTTGGGTGTGGTTATAGATAGAAGATAAGATATTTCTGACAGTTATACTGACTGACTGAGTTTGGTTTTACGCCGCTTTTAGCAATATTCCAGCAACATCATGGCGGGGGACACCAGAAATGGGCTTCACACAATGTACCCATGTGGGGATTCGAACTCGGGTCTTTGGCGTGGCGAGCCAACACTTTAACCACTAGGCTACCCCACCGCCCCTCTGACAGTTATATACAGACACTACTTATATGTGACACTTTATGCATGGAGGGCAATGGAGTAGCTCACTGGTTACATTATCCACCTGAATTTGATTCCCAGCTTAGGTACTGTGTGAGAAGCCTTGTTATCTTGCTATAATAAGGGACACAATAGTCTTCTCATGGAGTGTGTCTTCTAGATCCGCATGTTTCTCTCTACAGGTACTGGATCTTCAAGTTTCTGGTTCTGTGTGGACTCTGTGCTGGGGCATTCTTCATCCCCTCAACGTACAGTCTCTGTAAGGATGAAATATTGATATATTTTTTCAACTCTTTTGTTAGTTGTAATAATATCATTGTTTATGTTAGTAATAATGATTATTTAAGTATCTGGTTACTAGGGATATTTGGTGTTGTTTCCAGACTGGATGTACATTGGCATGGCTGGGGGATTTCTTTTCATCATCTTGCAGCTGATACTCTTGGTGGACTTCACTCACTCCTGGAATGCAGCCTGGTAGGTTGAGGGTGGTGATCAGTAGTACAGTGGCTGCCTGGTTCATGGAGGGTGGTGGGCAGTAGTACAGTGACTGACTGGTTCATGGAGGGTGGTGAGCAGTAGTACAGTGGCTGACTGGTTCATGGAGGGTGGTGGGCAGTAGTACAGTGACTGACTGGTTCATGGAGGGTGGTGGGCAGTAGTACAGTGGCTGCCTGGTTCATGGAGGGTGGTGGGCAGTAGTACAGTGACTGCCTGGTTCATGGAGGGTGGTGGGCAGTGGTACAGTGGCACTGGTCAGTAGGAGGGTGGTGGGCAGTAGTACAGTGGCACTGGTTCATGGAGGGTGGTGGGCAGTAGTACAGTGCTGACTGGTTCATGGAGGGTGGTGGGCAGTAGTACAATGACTGCCTGGTTCATGGAGGGTGGTGGGCAGTAGTACAGTGACTGCCTGGTTCATGGAGGGTGGTGGGCAGTAGTACAGTGACTGACTGGTTCATGGAGGGTGGTGGGCAGTAGTACAGTGGCTGACTGGTTCATGGAGGGTGGTGGGCAGTAGTACAGTGGCTGCCTGGTTCATGGAGGGTGGTGGGCAGTAGTACAGTGGCTGACTGGTTCATGGAGGGTGGTGGGCAGTAGTACAGTGGCTGCCTGGTTCATGGAGGGTGGTGGGCAGTAGTACAGTGGCTGACTGGTGCATGGAGGGTGGTGGGCAGTAGTACAGTGACTGACTGGTTCATGGAGGGTGGTGGGCAGTAGTACAGTGGCTGCCTGGTTCATGGAGGGTGGTGGGCAGTAGTACAGTGGCTGACTGGTTCATGGAGGGTGGTGGGCAGTAGTACAGTGGCTGACTGGTGCATAGAGGGTGGTGAGCAGTAGTGCAGTGGCTGCCTGGTTCATGGAGGGTGGTAGGCAGTAGTACAGTGGCTGACTGGTTCATGGAGGGTGGTGGGCAGTAGTACAGTGACTGACTGGTTCATGGAGGGTGGTGGGCAGTAGTACAGTGGCTGCCTGTTTCATGGAGGGTTGTGAGCAGTAGTGCATGTATTCATTTATTCTGTGAATGAATACTCCATATAAGAAGTGATAAAAATAATGATTGAAGTCAGTATTGTGTTAAAAAATACAAGTAATTTGCAATACATTGTCATTGTGTAGATAGCAAAATGAGTCTATGTATCTGTGTAGTCTGTATTGAAATGTTTTCAGTTCATGCCTACCACATTTGTGTGGGTGTTTTCCATTGGTCCTGAACAGTGGACAATGTCCTGTATATCCTCAGCATATCTTCAGAGATGTTTCTTAGCCTTACATCGCGGAGGTTTTTCCTGAATAACACAACTTTGTTAACAGCCTGTCTCTTGCATTTTGTGATTTTGCATGATGAGGATGATAAATATATAGTGACCATGTTAGTTTCTGCTTGTAGGGTGGGCAGGAAGTCTGGCACTGGCTCCAGGAACAACTGTGGGTATGCAGGTAAGGATGATGGTCTCACAACCTGGCATTCTCATGCCTGCAGCTGTGTAGAGTTGCCTCCCTTGTTGATCAGTTTGTAGTGGATTGAATCCTAGCTGGCCATGTTGGTTATCCTCTGTTTGAGCCATGTCTTTGCATGTGGAGTCAACTTATTTAGGCTTATCAGGGTTAAGAAGTTACTTGATACCTTGTAGCTGCTCACCCGAACATTGTTTACTGTTATATGTTGATGAACTGCCTGTGTATCTTCACGACAGGCACCCTGATGATTGCTGTGATATTCTTCATTATCGGTGTGCTGGGCGTTGTGATGCTGTTTGTCTACTATGCACCGAATGACTGCAACACCAACAAGATCTTCATCGGCATCAACACTGGCCTCTGCGTCACCATCTCCATCATCACCCTGCTGCCATGTACAGAGAAGTGTAAGTGGATGCCTTGGCTTGTGATGTGTGGTTACACTCAGACATAACAGTCTACAACTTAACTGTTTGATATAAATGATACTTACATGTATACTAAATCAACATGTCATGATAGAAACTGCCATCTGAAACTATGTGTATACACTGTGTATTCCACTCTTGTTCTGCATGCCATGCTCTCTGTGTTCTGCCATTGTTCTGCTGTTTGTCTGCAGTTAACCCCAATGCTGGCATGCTGCAAGCTTCTGTGATCAGCTTGTATGTCCTGTACCTCACCTGGTCAGCTCTCACCAGTGAACCCCCAGAGGAAGGTGAGTCTACCACCCTTAGGGGGACAGTTGTTGCCACCCTAAGGGGGACAGTTGTTGCCATCTTTATGGGGTCAGTCAGATGTCATTTGTTGCAATCCTTAGGGTCATTTGTTGCCATCTTTAGGGGTCAGTTGTTGCCATCTTTAGGGGTCAGTTGTTGCCATCTTTAGGGGTCAGTTGTTGCCATCTTTAGGGAGTCAGTTGTTGATACCTTTAGGTGTCAGTTGTTGCCATCTTTAGGGGGGTCAGTTGTTGCCATCTTTAGGGGTCAGTTGTTGCCACCCTTAGGGTGTCAGTTGTTGCCATCCTTAGGGAGTCAGTTGTTGCTATCTTTAGGGGTCAGTTGTAGCCATCCTTAGGGGTCAGTCAGGGGTCAGTTGTTGCTATCTTTAGGGGTCAGTTGTTGCCATCCTTAGGGTGTCAGTTGTTGCCATCCTTAGGGGTCAGTTGTTGTCATCCTTAGGGGTCAGTTGTTGCCATCCTTAGGGGTCAGTTGTTGCCATCTTTAGGGGTCAGTTGTTGCCATCCTTAGGGGTCAGTCAGTTGTTGTCAGTTACATTTAGGGGTCAGTTGTTGATACCTTTAGGGGGTCACTTGTTGCTTTAGGGGTCCTTAGTTGTTGGGGTCAGTTGTTGATACCTTTAGGGGTCAGTTGTTGCCATCCTTAGGGTCAGTTGTTGCCATCTTTAGGGGTCAGTTGTTGCCATCCTTAGGGGTCAGTTGTTGATACCTTTAGGGGTCAGTTGTTGCCATCCTTAGGGTCAGTTGTTGATACCTTTAGGGGTCAGTTGTTGCCATCTTTAGGGGTCAGTTGTTGCCATCTTTAGGGGTCAGTTGTTGCCACCCTTAGGGGTCAGTCAGTTGTTGCCATCCTTAGGGGAGTCAGTTGTTGCTATCTTTAGGGGTCAGTTGTTGCCATCCTTAGGGGTCAGTTGTTGCAGTTGTTATCTTTAGGGGTCAGTTGTTGCCATCTTTAGGGGGGGTTGCCATCTTTAGGGTGTCAGTTGTTGCCATCCTTAGGGGTCAGTTATTGTCATCATCCTTAGGGGTCAGTTGTTGTTGATACCTTTAGGGGTCAGTTGTTGCCATCCTTAGGGGGTCAGTTGTTGCCATCCTTTAGGGGGAGTCAGTTGTCATCCTTAGGGTCAGTTGCCATCTTTGATACCTTTAGGGTCAGGGTAGGGTGTCAGTTGTTTACCTTTAGGGGTCAGCTTACCCTTCAGTTGTTGCCATCTTTAGGGGTCAGTTGTTGCCATCTTTAGGGTCAGTTGTTGATACCTTTAGGGGTCAGTTGTTGTCAGTTGTTGCCATCCTTAGGGTCAGTTGTTGATACCTTTAGGGGTCAGTTGTTGCCATCCTTAGGGTGTCAGTTGTTGATACATTTAGGGGTCAGTTGTTGATACCTTTAGGGGTCACTTGTTGCCATCCTTAGGGTCAGTTGTTGATAGCTTTAGGGGTCAGTTGTTGTCATCTTTAGGGGTCAGTTCTTGATACCTTTAGTGGTCAGGTTTTGCCATCTTTACGGGTCACTTGTTACACACTTGAGGGACAGTTGTTGCCTCCCTTAGTGACAGTTGATGTCACCCTTAGGGGTACGATGTTGCCACCCTTGGGGTAAGATGACACTGTCACACTGACATGAAGTTGTTCTTGAATTAGATGTCACTGATCTACCTTTGACAGTGTAAAGACAGTCTGCATAACTGCTATATTGTCAGAAGATTGCCATAACCTGTACCGCTATACATACCTAAACTCCTACACAGATGAACTGTAGTGAGGCACAATGCTCTGCTGTCTGGTGCTGGTTGTAACTGTATTCATGAAACTTACATTTTTCAATATTTTTCATATTTCATAAATATCCTGAAGATATTCATTCACATTGAAATAGATAATCATCTGACAGTTGGAGCTTTTGGTCAAGTGCTGATTTAGATGAGTGAACCCAAACATGCTGGTCACCTTCAAAGTGTCAAATTTACAGGTACTGAATTTGGGAAAATTCTGACCTTAGGGCTTGTATTCCAGTGAACATCTTGGAGACCTTTGCCACGAAGACTCAGCGCCTCTCCCAGCAGAAGGATGCACATGCCGTGAAGATAGGTCAGGTGGGCCAGCACTTCCACCGGGAGGCCAACATGTCATCTTTGTATCAGTGTCGACCAGATCCATCTTTCCCAGAAGCTGATCTCATCTCCGCTTATGCCGGACTCCTCATCACGTTTATCATGGCTGTATACTCCAGGTAGGTGGGCAATGCTTTCATGGACATCTTTGAGGTGATGAACTGTCAGCATCATTGTCAGCTGTGTCAACAATTTCCTTCCAAATATGAACTACTGACAAACAAATATTCTCACTAACAATACTCAGCCACCAATAGTATGTGTTGAACGTTTCATCTCCCTTTCCTAAGAGTATGTAGGATCTTCACATACAACAATGTTCTATTGTCCCCAGCAATACTGCATGGCTTTGGTAGCAGTATCTGATATGGATACAAGAGTATGTAGGATCTTCACATACAACAATGTTCTATTGTCCCCAGCAATACTGCATGGCTTTGGTAGCAGTATCTGATATGGATACAAGAGTATGTAGGATCTTCACATACAACAATGTTCTATTGTCCCCAGCAATACTGCATGGCTTTGGTAGCAGTATCGGATATGGATATAAACTGTGATGGCTAGAAGCTGCCTGTCGGTGTAGTTTGAAGAAGTCTTCCAAAGTATTCCGTGATAGTGGTATGAAGTTTGGGGGATGTGATGGCCTTGAGCAATGTTGTGCTGTACCAACCATTTCATGTTGCCATGTTTCAGTGTCCGGACGTCCAACCAGTCACACAAACTGGGCATCCGCCGGGGATCAGCAGCGGTGAGTGGGCCCAGTTTACCTACTGAGATGTCTGTAAGGGTAGCTTCTTCTCAGTGTAGGCATGTCCTGATTGCGTTTCGTGGCTGGTCAGGACCAGACTCATGTTCATGGGTTTCATAATAGTGGTTATATATCTACGACCTTCACATCTCAAGCTCTCCTCTCATTCTGTAACTAGTTGTGCATCTGTGACAACTATCCTCACCATCAGACTGTAATGACATTCCACCAGGGTACAAAGACATGCCATCTGTGAAGCACCACATTGTCACCAGCTGATCCACATATATTAGCTGATTCTCATACCTACCAGCTGATCCTCATATATACCAGCTTATCCTTATATACACCAGCTGATCCTTATGTGTAGCAGCTGATCCTTATATGTATACCAGCTGTTCCCTATGTGTACCAGCTGAACATTATATATACCAGCTGTTCCTCATATATACCTGCTGTTCCTTATCTATACTAGTTGATCCTTATATATACTAGCTGTTCCTTATGTGTACCAGCAGATCCGTATATATACCACCTGATCCTTATATGTACCAGCTGTTCCTTATGTGTACAAGCTGATCCTTATATATACCAGCTGTTCCTCATATATACCAGCTGATGCTTTTATATACCAGCTGATCCTTATATATACCAGCTGTTCCTTATATATACCAGCTGATCCTTATATATACCAGTTGTTCCTTATATATACCAGCTGATCCTTATACTGTTGTCATGACATGCTAATATGTACAACATGGGCGGTGGGGTAGCCTAGTGGTTAAAGCGTTCGCTCATCACACCGAAGACCTGGGTTCGATTCCCCACATGGGTACAATGTGTTAAGCCCATTTCTGGTGTCCCCCGCCCTGATATTCTTGGAATATTGCTAAAAGCGGCGTAAAAACAAACTCACTCACTCACTAATATGTACAATATGTCTGAACACTACTACTTGATTTCTCTTCAGGGAGGCAAGACGTGGTGTTGCTGTCTCATGTATAAACGTGAGTAATCTGTTCCACACATCTGTTCCAGTACAGTAGGAACATGTCATTTATTGCAGGAGATATCCTACTGGTTTCCAGAACAGATGTTTATTGTGGGACATGCGCGCTGTGTATTTCAGAATCAAGTGTTTATTAAAGGTTATGATCTGCAGGGTTTAGAAACAGGTGATTATTGAAGGCCATGGAATGAATATGTAGGTCAAGATTGGTACAAGCTGAGGTTGTGAGATCAGAATATAAAGAGATCTACCTTTAACTCACTGCTGTCTGACATTCATGGGGGTACGTCATGACATGTTGTCAGTCGGCTGTGTGTCTGTCTGACAGTCAGGGGGGTTACGTCATGACATGTTGTCAGTCGTCTGTGTGTCTGTCTGACAGTCAGGGGGGTTACGTCATGACATGTTGTCAGTCATCTGTGTGTGTCTGTCTGACAGTCAGGGGGGTTACGTCATGACATGTTGTCAGTCGGCTGTGTACGTCATGACATGTTGTCAGTCGGCCTGTGTGTCTATCTGACAGTCAGAGTGCGTCATGACATGTTGTCAGTCATCTGTGTGTCTGTCTGTCTGTCTGACAGTCATGGGGTCAGTCACGTCATGACTGTCTGTTGTCAGTCATCTGTGTGTCTGTCTGACAGTCAGGGGGGTTACGTCATGACATGTTGTCAGTCGTCTGTGTGTCTGTCTGACAGTCAGGGGGGTTACGTCATGACATGTTGTCAGTCGTCTAAAACTGTCTATTGTTGTTTGATAACACATGATGTGTCATTACAGGAGATAATCCATCAATTCATGGCGGCCAGGAGGTCGTGCAGAATGAGGCAGACGGAGTTATCTACTCCTACTCTTTCTTCCACTTTGTGTTCTGTCTGGCTGGGCTTTACATCATGATGCAGCTGACTAACTGGTACAGGTATGTACAGTTGGAGGGTACAGGTGCATGAGAGGGGAGGGTACAGGTGCATGAGAGTGGAAGGGTACAGGTGCATGAGAGGGAGGGTACAGGTGCATGAGAGGGGAGGGTACAGGTGCATGAGAGGGGAGGGTACAGGTGCATGAGAGGGAGGGTACAGGTGCATGAGAGGGAGGGTACAGGTGCATGAGAGGGAGGGTACAGGTGCATGAGAGGGAGGGTACAGGTGCATGGAGGAGGGTACAGGTGCATGAGAGGGAGGTACAGGTCCATGAGAGGGAGGGTACAGGTGCATGAGAGGGAGGGTACAGGTGCATGGGAGGGAGGGTACAGGTGCATGAGAGGGAGGGTACAGGTGCATGGGAGGGAGGGTACAGAGGGAGGGTACAGGTGCATGAGAGGGAGGGTACAGGTGCATGCGAGGGAGGTGCATGAGAGGGAGGGTACAGGTGCATGAGAGGGGAGGTACAGGTGCATGGGAGGAGGTACACAGAGAGGGAGGTACAGGTGCATGAGGAGGGAGGGTACAGGTGCATGAGAGGGAGGGTACAGGTGCATGAGAGGAGAGGGTACAGGTCCATGAGAGGGAGGGTACAGGTGCATGAGAGGGAGGGTACAGGTGCATGAGAGGGAGGGTACAGGTGCATGAGAGGGAGGGTACAGGTGCATGAGAGGGAGGGTACAGGTGCATGGGAGGGGAGGGTACTGGTGCATAAGAGGGGAGGGTACAGTTACCTGTGGTTGGGTACAGGTACATGGGGAGGGAGGAGGAAGTACAGGGGAGGGAATGTAGTATGGGAGGGTAGGGTACAGGTATGTGTAGGGCAACATGTATTTGGCTGGGGTACTGGTATGTGAGTTTGGAGAAAAGGTGGGTTTGGGGTGGAGGTATGGGGCTGTTACAGGTACGTTAGATAGGGGTAGAGGTATATGTAAGTCACATGTATGTGGGTTAGGCTAGGAGTATGGGTGTTGCATGTACATGCAATAGGGGTTGAAGTATGTGGGTGTTAGAGGTACTTGGGGTAGGGGTACAGGTATGTGGGAGTTACATGTATGTGGGTTAGGCTAGGGGTATGTGGGGGTGTTACATGTACATGCAATAGGGGTGGAGGTATGTGGGTGTTAGAGGTACTTGGGGTAGGGGTACAGGTATGTGGGAGTTACATGTATGTGGGTTAGGCTAGGGGTATGTGGGGGTGTTACATGTACATGCAATAGGGGTGGAGGTATGTGGGTGTTAGAGGTACTTGGGGTAGGGGTACAGGTATGTGGGAGTTACATGTATGTGGGTTAGGCTAGGGGTATGTGGGGGGTATGTAGGCTAGGGGGGTTGCATGTTTGTGGGTTAGGCTAGGGTATGTATGGGGGTTGCATGTTTGTGGGTTAGGCTAGGGGTATCTGGGGGTTGCATGTTTGTGGGTTAGGCTAGGGGTATGTGGGGGGTTGCATGTTTGTGGGTTAGGCTAGGGGTATGTGGGGGGTTGCATGTTTGTGGGGTAAGGGTGCGCAATGTTGGGATTACAGTTACATTGGGAATGGGTGGAGGTATGTGGGTGGTTTATGTATGTGGATGGGGGTTACATATAAGTTGGCTAGGGGTAAAGGTATCTGGGAGTTACAGGTATGTGGGGATGGGGAGGAGCTATATGGGGGTTCCATATAAGTTGGCTAGGGGTAAAGGTATCTGGGAGTTACAGGTATGTGCGATAGGAATTTAGTTAATGGCGAGTACACAAGTAATCTTAGATCCTTTCCTGTATTTTCTATTTCAGACCCGAGGAGACAAACATAGACAAGTTTGGGCTGAATTGGTCTGCAGTGTGGGTGAAGATGGCCTCCAGCTGGGTATGTGTGGCCATATACACCTGGACTCTCTTCATCCCCAAGTGCTGCCCAGGACGGAACCTGTCCTTTCCCAGACCACGCCAAGATTCGGTTGATGGTAGGCTTGAAGAGGAATGTCTCCATGATATGCCAAGATCTGGGTCTAGGTCATCAAATATATCTTCAAGAACAGTCGATGAGGATCCTCGTCCAGGATCCAGGATGTCCAGATCAAAGTCTGCTTCCCGTGACAAACTAAACAGACAGTCCCCTGCACGGACTCCTATTGAGGAGCGACCTAGCTCCAGATCATCTGCAGCTGCAAAGTCAAAGGACAGATACAGATCTCCAGCAAGGACTCCCATCGAGGACCGACCAAGTTCAAGGTCAGCTAGAAGGTCAAGATCACGTTCACCCAAAAAAGATAGAGACAGACAGAGTTCAGTATGAGCGTATTTCATGTGTGTCCCAAGGTGTTGTGATATGTGACTATAAGGACAAAGTTCAAGGTCATCAAGAAGGTCAAGATTACAGTTACCAAGAGGCAGTAGAGACTGACACAAGTGTGCAAGGTGTTATGATATGTGACTATTGATGACACAAATGTCCATATTTGTTCGTTTTTTCTAGTATTTCACTTATCATGCTAATGTACCTCAATTTCTAGCTGACTCCTGTGTCCTAGAAGAATTCCTTTTGATGCTCAGACTTCAGGTTCTCTACAAATGGCTATTGTATATGAATATTCAGGTATTCACACGTGTTTGTACGGTTTGTGTGAAACATTCTGTTGTCAACTAGCTCATGTTACCTGAAAGATAACGAATAAGAACTGGCAGTTTGAACCCCCAAGTATAACATGGTCAAGCCTTGCAGAAACATTATTATTTGAATTAGTAATTGTCATTATATGTTTGGTAATGGTAACCATGGCAACTTGTAAAAAGTTTCTTTAACCATGTTTAAGTAGCTATTGAACATAGTGAAATAATGTTAATCCCTATCTTGCTAATTCACCAATGGCTGATTCGAGAACTTCTTGTTTTTCATGTATAGAGTTATATCAGTTCGGTGTCTTGCAGAATCTGTAAAGTCATCAAAAGTGAGGAAAAGTATTAAGATTTTTTGGTGGTTGAATTTGGTAATTGAGATTTTATTAACTGTTCACTCAAGAACTTTTTAGGAGTTCAAAGATTTGTTCAAGAAGTATTGTCTCTTGATTTGGCAACCCTTTTGTGGTTAAAATCATAATTATTGAAACACGACAATTGTTGTTCCAGAACTGAATCTCAGTGTGTATAGGAATCTATATATGGAAATCTATGTGTAGAAATCTGTGTATAGGAATCTATGTATAGGAATCTATATATAGGAATCTATGTATAGGAATCTATATATAGAAATCTATGTATAGGATTCTGTGTATAGGAATCTGTATAGGATTCTGTGTATAGGAATGTATATAAAGGAATCTGTATAGTATTTTAAGTATAGGAATCTATATATAGGAATCTGTGTATAGGATTCTATGTATAGGAATCTATTATGTGGACAGAGAAAGAAGCAACCCAAATTATTGCCTTATTTCTGGCATTGACATTTTCTAGCATTGTGTAGAATAGAAATCTTATATGTGGTTGTATATTTCCCCGTACAACATGAACACTGTGAGTATATTTCCCCATACAACATGAACACTGTGAGTATATTTCCCCATACAACATGAACACTGTGTGTATATTTCCCCATACAACATATACACTGTTAGTATATTTCCCTGTACAACATGAACACTGTGAATATATATCCCCATACAACATGAACACTGTGAGTATATTTCCCCATACAACATGAACACTGTGAGTATATTTCCCCATACAACATGAACACTGTGAGTATATTTCCCCATACAACATGAACACTGTGAGTATATTTCCCAATACAACATGAACACTGTGAGTATATTTCCCCATACAACATGAACACTGTGAGTATATTTCCCCGTACAACATGAACACTGTGAGTATATTTCGCCATACAACATGAACACTGTGAGTATATATCCCCATACAACATGAACACTGTGGGTATATTTCCCCATACAACATGAACACTGTGAGTATATATCCCCATACAACATGAACACTGTGAGTATATATCCCCATACAACATGAACACTGTGAGTATATATCCCCATACAACATGAACACTGTGAGTATATTTCCACAACATGAACACTGAGTATATTTCCCCATACAACATGAACACTGTGAGTATATTTCCCCATACAACCTGAACACTGTGCGTATATTTCCCCATACAACATGAACACTGTGAGTATATTTCCCCATACAACATGAACACTATGAGTATATTTCCCCATACAACATGAACACTGTTAGTATATTTCCCCATACTACATGAACACTGTGAGTATATTTCCCCATACAACATGAACACTGTGAGTATATTTCCCCATACAACATGAACACTATGAGTATATTTCCCCATACAACATGAACACTGTTAAGTATATTTCCTGAACACTGTTAATCATATTTTACTGTATATTTCCCCATACAACATGAACACTGTGAGTATATTTTCCCATACAACATGAACACTGTGCGTATATTGCCCCATACAATCTGAACACTGTGAGTATATTTCCCCATACAACATGAACACTGTGAGTATATATCCCCATACAACCTGAACACTGTGAGTATATTTCCCCATACAACATGAACACTCTGAGTATATTTCCCCATACAACATGAATACTGTGAGTATATTTCCCCATACAACCCTGAACACTGTGCGTATATTTCCCCATACAACATGAACACTGTGAGTATATTTCCCCATACAACATGAACACTGTGAGTATATTTCCCCATACAACCCTGAACACTGTACGTATATTTCCCCATACAACATGAACACTGTGAGTATATTTCCCCATACAACATGAACACTGTGAGTATATATCCCCATACAACATGAACACTGTGAGTATATTTCCCCATACAACATGAACACTGTGAGTATATATCCCCATACAACATGAACACTGAGTATATTTCCCCATACAACCCTGAACACTGTACGTATATTTCCCCATACAACATGAACACTGTGAGTATATTTCCCCATACAACATGAACACTGTGAGTATATATCCCCATACAACCTGAACACTGTGAGTATATTTCCCCATACAACATGAACACTCTGAGTATATTTCCCCATACAACATGAATACTGTGAGTATATTTCCCCATACAACCCTGAACACTGTGCGTATATTTCCCCATACAACATGAACACTGTGAGTATATTTCCCCATACAACATGAACACTGTGAGTATATTTCCCCATACAACCCTGAACACTGTACGTATATTTCCCCATACAACATGAACACTGTGAGTATATTTCCCCATACAACATGAACACTGTGAGTATATATCCCCATACAACATGAACACTGTGAGTATATTTCCCCATACAACATGAACACTGTTCACACAATTAACCATGTTAACATTTTGATCATTTGTCCCCAAACAACATGAATTGTGAGTTTAATTTCCCTCTAAAACATAGAGTAAACTTCCTTTTATGTGTGTTGTCTACTGTACCAAGCTCTTGATTGTATCTTTACAGATCATGTTGTTATGGTGATTAGTTTGCTGGTATGGAATTGATTATGTGACTGGTGAAATACACTGTATTGGGTTTGTAATAGTGATACAAGAACATTATGAAGTTTACACATGTTGAAGCATATCAGTTGCTAGGTAATTCATTCATGTTGGGCTATCAAGTATGTTTGGGAAAGAAGATTGAAATTGCTGCTATAATTATTGAGGTGTATGACAAGGTTACTGTAGGGGTTATGGTGTATGGCCAAGTTACTAAAGATGAAGGTGTATGACAAAGTTACCGTAGGGATTAACGTGTATGACAAAGTTACTGTCGAGGGTTAAGTGTACGGATTAATGTGTATGACAAAGTTACTGTAGGGATGAAGGTGTATGACAAAGTTACTATCAGGATTAAGGTGTATGACAAAGTTACTGTAGGGATTAATATGTATGACAAAGTTACTGTAGGGATTAATGTGTATGACAAAGTTACTATCAGGATTAAGGTGTATGACAAAGTTACTGTAGGGATTAAGGCATATGACAACGTTACTGTAGGGACTAAGGTGTATGACAAAGTTACCATATGGATTAACGTGTATGACAAAGTTACTGTTGGGATGAAGGTGTTGGATAAAGTTTCTGTGATTCTGGGTGAAGATAATGTTACTACATATCTTAAGATGAATGATATTGATAACTGATACTTGACAATGTCACTGATATGGAATGTATGATTGACTTTGGAGGTTATGTAACTCTGACTTTGAGATACATGTTGCTGTGCCCAAGGTAAAGCTACCATTTTTCCACATTGATAATTGATCTGTATAAAGATATTTCTAAATTTATATCTTGTGTGATGAAGAATCTGGTAATACATTATCACTAGGCAGATTCACAGAACCTGGAATCCCAAGGGAACATTGGTTGCTAGGCAGCTGTTGTAACCTACAAAGTAGACATTCCTTATGGTCCACATGCATGCATGGCAGAAGGTATGTCAAACACCAACTTGATGCATGTTGTTAGAATTCTGTACATGACTTTCCAATGTTTCTAAAAGAATGGATGTCACATATCAATATGCACACTGGTGTGATCTTATGTCTGTCTGTGAGAATGTGGAATATCTTTTCAAACCTGGAATATGTTCATCTGGACATTCATGCATGGTTCTGTAATAGTTACTGACTTCCAAACATCTGACTTGAATTAATTCAGTGAGAGAAGAATTGTAAGATTACTCCAGGAGTAATAGGAACATTTCACCTGGCAACTGAAGCCTGCCAGAAGGAAATATGAGCAACGGAATCTGTTTAGGGGTGTCTTTGCAATTCTAGTTTGTTATGTTTCTATCCAGATGAGAACATTCACTGGCCTCAAACTGTGACTTCACTGTAGACACAGTAAACATTTTCCACATTGTTTTAAGCCCATTCCATATTGTTTTACTGCTAAATGTCCTTAAAATTCTTACCTACTTCCTGGTCCTATATCCTTGCCCCTGTGTGTAGTGGGGCTCCAGACACCAAGATACTGACATTCCTTCAACTACACTGACCTTGACCTTTGACCCTGACCTTTGTACCATTCAGTGTTGTTTCCATTGTTTACGTACATATTTATATTTTCATACTTCTTGTAAACATGTCAGTGTAGCTGTTCTAGTGCTGAAATTATACTGATACTTAGAATTTTACATGTGCAATAACTTGCTTCTAAACTCTCTCATCAGAGACCATGTGGATCATGGCTGAACGCAAATTAGTGCTTTCATTTATCGTGTTCATAGTTCACATGGTGCATGACAAAATGTGTGTTTTTTTGCCTAAAGGGTTCAAAGAGAAGTTGTCTTTGTGTTACAAAGAACAGAATTTATTTAGTAAGTTTTGTAAAGAAGAACATTTGAAATGAGACTGAGAACTGATAAAGCTACTTCCTGTTACAACAGTCCTTGACCTTGTGAATATGTAAATATTTGAGTAGTTTCATGCATGTAATTTGTGGAACCTGACTGTGACAGCTTGAATACCTTGACAATTGTTGTCGTTATCTTGTTTGATGTTCGGGTACTGTTTTCATTCTGTGTTCATATTTGGAACCCAGGTGGGGCACAGGTGGACCAATCGTCTGGGGGCACTGCCCTGGTTTGAGTGGCTTCCATGATCAATGTCAGGTTCTGTGATTGTAGTTTGATTCTCCTAGGAATCCTTGTTTCATCAGCAAAAAGCCAAGCTTGTTTGTTTTACCAAAGTGGTACCTGTACGTTTTAAGCTAACAAGCTGTTAGTGATGATTTTAAGTAATTTGAACCCAACTAACCCCCTCACTCACCCTAACAATGTGTACTTGCATGCAGTTTATTGATTCTACATTATACATCCCCACTGTATATATGAGACACTAGAGAACTATGGGTGGCATGACATGCCACCTGAAATGCCATGCCTGGAGAGGTTCTGTCTTCCATTGCTAGTTGTAGAATATGTTTTGGTGAAAACATTGCTACCAGCTGAGCACTTTGTTGAAATCTGTAGATGTTTGACATTTAGGATCCGTTGACAATGTATCTGATTGTTGGTTACTGCCACAGTGTGGCTATTGTTGCCTTTATATCAGTGGAGGAGGTAGAGTGTGTGTGAGACAGGTGCCCTGAACATGTCTGTCTGAGACTTTCTGTTACAGCAGCTTCAGCAGATTGTTGGTCTAAGGTTACAGTCCCCTCAGGAATATTTTTCAACTCATCTGTTTCTCTATTGGTATATAACTGAAAGCCCTGGGATACCATTTTGTTCTAGCATTAGTATTTTCAGCATTGGGCTCTGGTCTAATCTAGAACCCCCCATGGACAGACCAGCATTGGTTGTTAGGCAGCTTTTCTAACCTGGAATGCCCAAGGAGAGACCAACATTGGTTGCTAGGCAGCTGTTCTAACCTGGAATGCCCAAGGAGAGACCAGCATTGGTTGCTAGGCAGCTGTTCTAACCTGGAATGCACAAAGAGAGACCAACATTGGTTGCTAGGCAGCTGTTCTAACCTGGAATGCCCAAGGAGAGACCAACATTGTTGTAAGGCAGCTGTTTTAATCCAGAATTCCCAGGGAGACCAACATTGGTTGCTTGGAATCATTTT